CTTTTTGTATTCATTTATGTAAAAAAAAGGAAGACGCAGAAAATTTTAAACCCAGTATTTTTGCATAATTTACGTATATATTTGTTGACGCCAGATGTAATCGTGCATCCCAATTAGAAAACCGGATAATTAATGAGCTCCGAAACTATATGTCTGTCTGATCGAAGACCACGAAAAGAGATAGAGAAAAAAAAGATAAATAACTTTCTCCGTATTAAAAATAAACAGAACGAAATAAAAAATACTATGAAATGCTTTTACCATATTTACCATCCTCCTTTTTTTTTCACTTTCACTTTCGCGGGGAGAAAACGAAATCGATAATCCACTTTGCCAAGTTTATTGGGTAACGTGAATCTAAAAAAAATGTGCAGATTTGTACATACGCATGCATTTCTGCATTCGTAATTTGTTTTTTGTAAATAGTACTTAATTATAAATATTAATCTAACGTCGTCAATAAGATTTGTATCTGTATGACATTCAAGTATATAATGAAATCTACTATTGTTTCTGTAAATAAGTTCTTCTATTTTAGTATGTTAATCTCGTAAGACGACTAATTTCATATGCAGTCATATGTTATTTCTGATAACAAAGTTTGGATATAATGAAGTCCGCAATTTCAATCAAAATATGTTCTAGAAAAATAAAATAACATCCAATAAATTACAATTGAAGTTATCGAAATGGCTCAGTCAAAAGGTTTCAAAATGTCAATGACCAAGATGTTAGAATTTACAATAGTCTAAAGTGACTTCGTAGAACATCTAATTCATTAATCGAGGTTTCATTGTATTGTTTTTCAAAAATCTAAAATAATACTAAATAATTATTGTTGAAATATATATTATTATAATTTTATTATTAATACTAAATATTCTATATAAACAAATATAAAATAAAATTCAGTCAATCTTGTCCTAACAAAAATTTACTTATATTAACGAGTTTGAAAGACTAACTTTTTGGATATTTATAGAATGAAAGTTGTTATTAAAATTGTCGTGTTGCAAATAAGATTATTACATAACCAATCGGCATCCGACAAAGACTAATTACTAAAATGTATATAATCACTAAAAACTTTATACACTTTAACCCTAATTCGACATAACTCAAAGCCTAAAAGTATCAAAATTTACTTCTATATGTTAATTCGACTTTGTTAAGCGCTTGGAGATTGTCGTATAGGAAGCTCTAAACTAGGTACTAAACTCAATGTACTAAAAAAAGGGAGTAAACTGGCGTTAAAATTTTGGAAATAGTTTTGTTTGGGAGTTTCAATGAAATGGACAGGAAGGTAATAATGATAGAAATTATAGAACGTATTTAAAAAGGTTTGTACTAGTAGTAAAACGATGCAATTGCAGATCCTTGTCGCATTTATAAGTCCTTTTATTTATTAAACATAAATAGTCAAATTTAATGCGTCTAATGCCTGCCCTAAAACACAAAAAAAAATGGTTTTTAGTATTAGAGTGCAGAAACGGAAAAACGAAATTTTAAAATTGTATATGCAAGAAAATGACCAGACAAGATCTGTAGACATTCTTTCATTTTAACATAATTTTCTGAGAAAGAATAAATTTATATTTTATAGTCATTTATTGTTATTCTTTTATCTATGACATGTTCTTATTTTATGTAATATTAATAAAGAAAACAAGTTATAAAAATCCTTTCTCTTTTTATTTTTTTCTGTCAAAATTCGAAAACCGGTTTAAACCGGTTTTATATGAAAGTTGAGATTTGAAAACCGGTTCTTTTAAAAAGTCGGTTTCTGTATTAACCCTAGTTTTCATGGTAATAATCCCTCATATCGCTTTCAACCTGTCATGCCTGAATTTAAAATAATATTTTAAATCAAAATTTAAACATTTTTCTATTAATTAGTGATAAAATTCTGCCATCAAAATTGAGAAAAAAAAAACAGTTTGGTTTACCTGAGATTAGATCTATATCGCATTTTAGTTCTAAAATATTTCAACGGTCAAAATAAAATGAAACATGGTCATACATAATAATAAACAAAAATTATTATTAGTTGGTTGATTTATTGATAACTTTGTTATTACAGTAATAACTCACACAGTACAGAAAGTTAGTTAGTTTTGTCAATATCCCAGTTTAAAACCATACTAACCGAGGAACTAAATACTTACAAAAAAAATAGCACATAAGACTTGACTGTATAAAACAGAGTTTCTCAACATTTTAACCCACCCAAACCTTTCTGATATTATTGTGTCCTCTATGTAGGCAATTCTCGAATTGTTCGGTATAAGAGGAAGAAGCAAAAATTTTGTTTATTATTTTATTTAGAATTTATTTTTATTTTTCGGAAATCAACTTGAAATATTTCCTGATTCAAGCCACACTGTACGAGGCATTTCTGTATATAGAAAGAAATTAAAATAATTTATATAATTACTTGTTTACATATGTTACAATGTGTTTCCTAAACTAAATTTCAAGTTTCTTCATAGTCTCTTATTGTAACCTTTTCAGGTCATCTTCCAAAAGCGATTCCAGATATAAACTAAGAGTTATTGCACAAATCCATTAAAAATAGCAATAAAAATAACATTTTATAGTTTTTTCTGTTTTTGTCTAATTCGTACAAATAGAAAGTGTCTCGCGAGATCACATTTACTTCAAATTTAATAACTTGTCGATGTCGTGTTTAATGAATTTTAATTGCTTGGGATGTTTTTAATTATCGCAAAGAAACTTTCGTTGTTCTCAACAAACGCCGTGCGAAAAAAGTGCATTATGTTTCCAAAGCAAAAAAAAGTGAGAAGAAGTTTCATTTTGACAATAGCGAAATCACGCAATGGAAATAAAGTTGATCAATATTTGAAGTTTCCATTTTCGCATTGCTACAATAAATATAATTGAAATGCACCACGAGTTTTCCTTTTTCCATTTCCAACGAGGACAATGACAATCTTCCATCAAAACAAACAACTTTGTTTAAATTCAAACGCAACTTCTATTTGTTTATTGGGTTTTAGTAAATGGTACAGTTGTAACCAGAAGTCATTTGATTAATTGTTATTTTTTCTCGTCTTGTATAATTTTTCTTTCGTTATAACTCTCTGTTCGTTCCGAGTTTAGAAAGTGCATTCGAAATGGTTACACTTTTATGTTACAATGTCCTCAAGTCGCGTATCGATTCGTATATTTAAATATTTCCTGGATTGCGAACACAATCGCATCAAAAATACAAATGATCATTACCGATGATGATGACAATTTATTTGCACATTCAATGATTTCATTTGAATTTTAGATTACATTATCTTTAAATTTAAGTATGAACATATAAATATAATGTAATATAATTATTTATATTAAAAGATAATAATTTACAGTTACTAAAAGCTCATATTTATATTATTTCTTTATATTTAATAGACATTTTACAAAACTAAATGATTATGGATTAATAACATAATAATAGTAAAATAATATTTGTGTACAAAAGTATACAAAATTATTACAACTATATTGTGTATGAATCTAAAGTTATTTTTGTGTGGTTCAGAAATTTAGATTTTTTGTTGAAATAAAAATATTCATATGTTTTAAAAATAAAAGTATTTTGTAAATTATTTATTATTTTTTTTAATTATACTGAGTAAATTTGTCTTTTTACTATAAACATATAAATTATGGGTCGATAAACTTTTACACATTGCAATTTTGTTCACATACGTGACCTGGATTCAAAGGTTTACTCATTAACCGTAAATATTGAATTAAATCGTGTCTTGCATCAACGAAAATTATATGTTCATATTTCATTAATATCATCTATTACTTTATAATAAACATATATTTTTATTAATAATTATATTAACTTAGGTACATTACATTACATAACAATTCCAATAGTATTAAGAATTATAAATTACTGTATCAATTTGTCAATTTATATATTTAAAATACATTAGTATTTCATTGTTAATATATAAATATTAAACATAAAATTTCTATCAGAAAATAGCTTCATATTTATATTTAAACTATAAATATTCTCATTACAGTTTTATTTTAATTTACAAAAGTATAAGAAAAATTACTTAAGAATCAATAAAAATAATTCAATTTGTATAATTAAAACAATCAATGGATATTTTTTTTAATAAAAATCAATTAAGCATTTTTTCTTATGTTACGTATTACAAATTAATTCCTTCTCAAAAGATAACGTTACAAATTAGCAACTCTTATACTAATATAAAATATCTTGCAATATCGTTTAAGAGTATAATTATTTGAAATTACAAAATAAAAAGACTTCCAACAAGACCCAGACAGGATGCCTTTCAAGGCATTGATAGCAAAACGGCTTATACAAGTCTACATCCAGACTATTTATTGGTCATGAAATTTTATATAATTCTTCTCCAAGGACATGAAGATTGCTACAAAGTAAGTTAAATATATAAAAAATTATTGTTCTTGCGGAATTTGAATGCATTTTATAATTGATTGAAACATTAATCTGTATTAAACATTATTATTCTATAAATATTTTTTTTTCTTTAGTAATATTTGAATTTATCTTCGAGAATGAAATATCTTATTGGAAAATATTAATTATTCTCTCTCAATCTCAATATTAATAAATATATATTATTAACTATATATACAATAATATTTTTATTAATTGAGTAAAAAAATATGTGACTAAAAATTTTGTTTTTAATAAAAATGTAACAGCAAATAATTTAATATTGTACAACGCTTTGTTCTTTGTAGTAATATTAATACTACACAGATTAAGTAAAATTTGTAGTACAAACGTGAAGAGGTTCCACAATTTCCCGGTGTTAATCAGCAATAAAAAATGTAAGTACTAGCTTCTACAAAATGATTAGCAATAAACACGATCAATTCGTAGTTGCAGCAAAGGAGCAGCGATAAAACAATAAAAGAATGAGGATCTGAAGAATGACGAAGGTTGCTCCTACCACATGAGCTCTCTCGAAGGAGTATAGCTGTCCGAGCTGAGCCTGCACGCCGTACTACTTACTACTCCTTGAACAGGCAAACACACTTTAGTCAGTACCGGAGTAGTAGTGTATACATTTCGATTCAGTTACATGCGTTACATGTGCGAGAAGTGGTAGCTTCTCATCCGTACGCAGCACGTGGTGCGAACCCCGACGAAACCGAATTATCATGACTTCCACCGGTCTGGCGCTGAAGATCTTCGGAGCAAACGTTCTAATAGCACTCGTCTGCTCCGCAGATCCACCTGGAGGTTTTTATACCACCAGATACGACCACATCGACGTCGAGAACATCCTCAATCAGAAGAGGCTTGTCTACTATTACGCTGCCTGTCTATTGGACAGAGGACCTTGCACTCCTCAGGGAATAGAGTTTAAAAGTAAGAAGCATATATATATTATTTTTTTACGACTTTCACTGCTTGCGTTTCTTTTTTTTATATTCTTCTATAGGTATGTCAATATCAACATTGTGTAACATATCATAATTTAAATATCAAATAATAGTACTTGGAAAAGCTAATCGATTTGTCTCTTGAGAAATACATAACTAACAACTACTAGGATAAACAAATATTTATGTTTCCATACTAATTATAAATAGAAAACAATGCATAAAATAGTAATGAAGATTTTAAGATATAATGGCAGTATCAATCAAAAAATATTTACATACAAATTAGAGTAAAATACAAATTTTTATATTAAGAAAACTAAAATTGTATGTGTATTTGTTAAAAGGTTTTTCACCTTTAGTTCATGTTTATTATTTGTTTAGACTTGTTACTTGCTTATTTAACCAAATATAACATTATTAATAAATAACAGGAACATCTTTAGCATGGTTCAACTGATAAAGCAGCGTCTATAGCAACAACTAATTAAATTTAAATAATTAATTATGTTACTAATATATGTAAATTGCTTTTAACCAATTCAATTTGTATCCTCAACATATGTTGCTTAACTTTAAAAAATGCTAAATATCAAGTACATGATAAACTCTATATTAACTATATATTAAAAATTAAATTTATTGAAACAGTTACAAAAATAAATAAGTAAAAATAATTTAAATAGTACCAAAAAAACTTTAGTTTATTGTCTTCCTAAGACAGATTACTGTAAAGCAAAGTGCTAATTAAAAATATACAAAAAGTATAAAATAATTATTATTATTAAACATCTTTATAGTCCTCAATTATGACCAAATTATTTCCGATCTAAAATATATATTATTAATATATATTGTGACTAATATCTTTTATTCAAATAACATAAGAATAAATATATTACATTAATTTGAAATGATTTAATTAGATTTAATTAAAGTTACTTATTATATAAATTGTCTAAAAATTCTGTTAACTTAGGAAAATAATGAATACATATTGCAAATTGAATCAATATGAAATTACTATCTTTGGAAATGATTAAGCAACAAAGCACAGTTTATGAAAATGGTGATTTTTGTGTTAGCTAATCGCAGTACTATGCAGTAAAATTAAATGCACGCAATGATGCAGTTACAATTAAATGTTATATAAGATGGGCATCCTTTTTCGCACCGTTAGTTTGCAGTCTTTTAATTTACGTTTCTAACACTTTTTTTTCTTCTTCTCTCATCCCGTATTCCGCGAAACTAGATTTAATTGTTTAATACATTTTATAATTGTTATTCATTTATTTATAAATATACGTTTTGTGGAATAACTTGCTCCGAATCCGGATATAATAAGTGCATTTAAATGTTTGATAATTGAAGAAGACACTTTTAATTTACATATTGAATAATTAGTATTGTTTATTGATCTTAACATTCATAATATTACATATAAATTATAGAATTTATGTAGTATTGAAATTTAAATTATTTTGTAATTATTTTCTCATAAACCAGTTTCTAAAATCGTTTTTTCAAGTGCCAAACATTTAATTTAATCTTTTTTTATATATCTATTTACACTGTAAACTTTGTATTTTCTTTATTTTCCTCATATTACACCTCACTCAATAAGTTCGTAGGATCGCTAATAAAACAACAACTTTTGGGCATTATTCGACTTTCTCTAACATTTCGATACCTTTCTTGAAGAACGATTTATCATTGGTCTCAAAATCACTTCTTCATTGGAGCCAAATCTCTTTCCCTTGAGCATTCTTTTCAGGTCTGCAAACAGGTATTAGTCGATGTGAGCCAGATCTGGAGAATACGGTGGATGGGCAAGGAATTCAAAGTGCATTTTTGCCATAGTTTTGATCGACTTGTGACACGATGCATTGTTTTGGTGAAAGAGCACTTTTTTCTTCTTCATTTGTGGTTGTTTTTTTTCGCAATTTCTTCCTTCGAACGCACCAATAACGCCATATTGATAGTTTTTCCTTTCTCAATGTAATAAATGAATAAAATTTCGTGCCTACCCCAAAATACGGAGGACAAAACCTTACCAGCTGACATTTGCGTTCACCCTTTGCTGTCCACTCAGCTGACGACCGATTTGATTCTGGAGTGTAGTGGTGGATCCAAGTTTCATCCATTGTTACATACCGCAAGAAAAAACCGTTTTATTTCGCTTGAACAGCTCTAAACAGCACTCGGAATCATCAACTCGTTATTTTTGGTCCACTTTAAGCAAACGCGGTACCCATTTCATATGTTCTTATGATCAAATGTTCATGCAAAATGATGAAACACTGCCTTTTGATATCATTAGGGTGTCAGCTATCTCACACAACTTTAATTTAATCGTCCAAATCCATTTAGTGGACTTTTTTATGTTTTCTGCAATAATTGTTGAACTTGGGCACCAGAGCGTTCAGCATTATTTGTGTCTTTACGACGGCGTTTAAAATCTGCAAACCACTTCTCTACCCTTTGTCTCAACGGAGAATAAGTTCCCATAATACTTATCAAGCCATTTCTTTGCTTGAACGGTATTTTTTTTTTCTTAAAAAAATACCGTTTTATCAACACACGAAATTCAGATTTTTCCATTGTTTTGAAAATTACAAAAGAAGCCTCACTAAAACCACTGTAACTTGTGAACTAAACGTCAGATTGCCATGAAATTTTGACCGGCGTCGTCTGAAAGTTGGTACTTCCCAAAAATCATATGGATTTGTCGATAACTTTATGTCATCCAACGAACTTATAACAACCCTACGAACAATAAATTTTCTAGAAAAAATATAATTTATCATGTAAATAATATGAATGCTTGGGATGTTTAGAATATAATTTTAATACTTTCAAGAAATAAAATATTTATTAATCTTTGAATGTTAAATATAATTTTCGAGAATTTCATTACAATTATTAAAATACCCAATGTACGGTAATTTAATAATTTTTATGACAAAATAATATGATCATAATATTAAATTTGCAATAAGCGAATGATAAGTAAAATTTATTTATGTTAGAAAATATATAATTTTTAGATATGTCAAAAACCAGATTTGATATAACCAAGTTATTATAGATTTATTCGAACACTTTAATATTTTTTTTTAAATATTGTTTATTAATTCAATATAAACAATTAAGATTTGAAGAGATGAAAATATTAAATGTTTATTTTAAATATTAATAATTATTTGATAATAATTAACACAAACTATTTTTTCAAATATTTTATTCATTTCTCGTTTCCTAAATTACACGTGCTTTATTCTTTTCATGGTCAATCTAAACTATGTTTTTGTTGTTTTGCATTGTTTCCAGTTAATAAATTATCCCGAATCAAGGAAATAACACAACATTATACGCATGACATAGATAAAATTTACCTATTAAACAACCTATATTATATAATATATAGTTTGTAAACTTTATATACATATCGATTTGATTTTTCCAAAAAATATGCAATATAATAAATAGGGAAAAAAAACAATAATTCCATGTTATGGCCTTGATTTTTTCTCTACAAAATTGTAGATAAATCTCTGTAAATGTTAGTTTTATTTAATTTTATTTATTATTTTAAAAGAAACAAAGCTAAATTATATTTAATAATTGGATAATAATGAGAGAGAGAAAAAACATTTCTATTGTCAATTAACAATGACACAGCAATGATTGCATGATGTGAGGTTGTATAATATTTATAATTAATGGCAATAAATGTGCTTTGACCCCAAACGAAGTTAATAAATAATAGGATTTACAAAGTATTCCAAAGAAAGTTTCAAGTTCAATATGTTAATAATATTACTCAATATTATTGAATGGAAATTTATAGTTAGGATTTAATAAATTTTTGATACGCAGTATTAATATTTTTTGTTATTATTATTACAGTTCGGTATGCAAATCGATTGAATGTTTAACGGTGATAAACATTTCCATAGCCGTTTCGGCTTTTGACCTACTGACTTTTTAGTCTTTTATAATTTATGTTTATGCGTCAAATGCTCGTCATTTTTTTTTCATTGTCAATGTAAAAATAGAAGGTTAGTTGTTTATGAGAAAAGCAAGCATGCATTGTATACTTAATTGTAAATTTTACTAAAGATATGTAAAAAAAATATATAAGAAAATATTAATCTACAATAGTATAAGTCGTATAGATTTAATGTTTAATAGTTTCATAACAATGTCAGATTCAAAGAAAATTCAATTAGTTCAGTTGCTTTGATTGGACCAATTGACACATATTTTAATTTCCATTCTCAAAGACTGCATTGAAAATATATATAGCAATACTTTGAATAGACTAGCTTCGTTTAGTCCGGATTCTATATAGTCAGGGATAAAAATATCAAAACAAACTAAATTTTAATTGAGTAATATAAATTCTAAAAAATATTGGAAACATTATTTTTTTACATAAATGTTCGTGTTTTTTTCTTTATACAATCAAGTCAAGTCTTTTTGTGTGGTTTATTTCTATTGTATTAAGTTGCTCAGTATGTTCGGTTTCAAACAGTCCGGAATTAACCGGACTATACAAGTTATTGATACATTATTAATATAGTTAATAAACTTGGATATTTCACTTCTTGTATACTTTAATTACATTCTGTAATCCAAAATGTATTTATAATCTATTATATTTTGAATTAAAATTGTGAAGGAAATAGTAAATCTTGTAGTTTATTACGCTTCATTTGTTGAGTTATGATGTCGTTTTTAAATAAATTAACATCTTATGTATTTATTTATTGTTTAAATTTCAATATTGTAATGTTTTTTAGTTCTATACTCAATTTGTTTTTTTGTTTCTTAAGATATTTTATATAATTGATTAAAACGTTTTTGGAGTCACACTGATATTTTTTTTTAATTTATGTGATATTTTAATATTTCCAGAAAATATTACTATTTTTATAATAATAATGTTTATTACATCAGTCATACAAAAAAAACATGTATAGA